GCTATGTTGGCAAGAATATTAAGCAATGGGATGTCATTCTTCCACAAATTGAGTTTGCTTACAATCGTTCTATGCATCATAGTATTGGTAAGAGTCCTTTTGAGGTAGTTTATGGTGCTAATCCTGCTGGTCCTTTGGACTTAATCCCTCACTCTATAACAAAGCAATTTAGTGGAGATGCTGATGAAAGAGCTAAGCAGATAAAGAAGCCGCATGAGGGTGTGAAAGCAACCATTGAGAAGCAAAATGAGAGGTACATGCATGCTGCCAACAAACATAGAAAACATGTGGAGTTTAATGTAGGTGATTTGGTCTGGATTCATCTAAGGAAGGAGAGGTTTCCACCGGGCAAATTTGGAAAATTGAAACCAAAGGCTGATGGTCCATTCAAGGTGCTTAAGAGAATTGGCAGAAATGCTTATGAGATAGAGCTACCTGAAGATTACGGAGTATCCCCAACATTTAATGTGGCTGATTTGAGTCCTTTTTATAATCATGTTGATGAATCAAACGAAGACTTGAGGACAAGTCTCATTCAACCGGGGGAGATTGACACGGGAGTGTCTAATTTACTACAATCTGATTATATGAGCCTTGATTATGATCTAGTATCTTTTTCAGTCAATAATGATGCCTCATAATCTTTATCTCAGCACACTAAAAAATGACAGCTCATCAGCATATTCTCTGCATAAAGTTAAAGCTGTTTCAAGGTGCTTTTCTTCAAGACAAAGGAATGCATTAAAGGAGTTGGTTGGCAGCTGTGAACATTTCTTCATTACCAATGAGTGCATTAAAATAGTTGGTTAGAAGCTGTAAACACTTAATTTCGAAATTCCCTATGCATGAAGGGTTGTTTCATGCACTAGTATTTATTTTGGTGTTTAGGACTTAGGAAAGGGTTTTAGAAAACTGATGATATCTGGGCAGAAGCTCTTAGAGAACCCCTTAAACTCTGTATCTCTTGGATACGTCCTTGAGTGGTGAGTCTTTTATTTTCTAGTTCTGTATCCTCGTTTAATTTCCGTTGGGTGGTGAACTTTCTGTATCCCATTGCGATTTTAAACTTGGTGGTGAGCTATATTTCGTTTTACCGAAGTTTTCTTCAAGAGTTCGTTCATTGCCTTCTGTGATATTTTCTATCTGTACAACTGTTCTATTGGTATTCTTGCGAATCCATTCTGCATTTTTACCCTCCCCGGTATCATCTGGACTGCCTGAAAAGGCCTGTTTTGCATCTTGGTTGAGGCCCGGATCGATAAATACATACCGGTTATAATAAATTGCAGCCCTTGACAAAAATAACTAGTAAGAAAATAATGAAGTGACAACCAAAGAGTAAAAAAATAAAAAAAGAGAAACAATATAGCTTACAAAAGAAATGTGTATATGTGTCAAATCTCTTTAGCATGTGTAGGAAAACATACTATCTCAAGAGGAGAAAAAGCACATGAATATGCACCAGATGTTGAGTGTTTGAAGTCCCATGACATGAATACTTGGTTGCACCTTGATGTGACGAAAGAAACATTCACTATAGATGATAAAATTTTATGGAGGACAAACATCATGTTATTGTATTTACTAATATAAGCAGATTATTCCGGTTCTGCATTTGCTGATTGAAACAATCCAAGGTTTCCAAATATAGAAATCAGGGCAGGAGATAGAAAATGAGAAATTATCAGTTGGATCTTCCTCAAGGCTTTTCTTAAGCAGCACGATAAAGTTATCCTATCAGATAGTCATCATGATTCCAGTGGTGCAACATGACATGTATCACTTAGTTACAATGTGAATTCATTAGCCCATGAAAATAACATAACCTACACGGAATTAAAATATTGGTGGCATTATAAAAACAAATAAAAAATCTAGAGGGATTCAGACACTTTCTAGAATAATAAATCAAATATGGTAGCAAAAATAAAAAAAGCATGAGCATGTTCTAGACAGGTCCTGAGAGGCAATAAGATCAAGGAATCTTAAGGATTTATAATCTTATTATATATTCTGCAAGAGGGCATAGCAAATAAAAGCAGAGAAGATGTTTAGATAAAACTGACAAACAAACACACCTTCTTCTGGCTGCTTCAATTGAATCAGAACCAGGCAACGGAGACGCATCCAACGAGCGACCTCTTAATTCAGCAGAGCTCCCAGATCTTCTTCCACAAAAAACCCAATGAAATAATGAAGTGATGGGATCTAAAATTGGCCTGCATGTTGTTACATGAATCATGATCAACTCATCAGAGTATGTCAGCTTGGTGAGTATTTAAGGGGACACCATTAAGGCATTAGTGTTACTGTTACCGCAAAAATTCAGGAAAGAAGCTTGAAAAAGAGAAATCATCACTTGGATCTCCCTTAAGGCTTGTTTCTGGCCGCTTTTGAAAGTAACGCAGGTATATCCAACTCATATATATGCCAAAGAGTAAAGTTGGAAGGTAAGACACAGAGTCTGTTATAAAGAAGCTTGTGGCAATCGATATCAATGTAACAAGAGTTGGCATCCACTGTGAAGCGTAGGAACAAGAATAACTGCTGCTTCAGCAAATTATTGGACTATGAAGAGCATATACCAAGTCCTGATAAATTACGGAGACAGATGTATACCTTTGCTTTGATCTTCAAAACAAAAAGACTGAGCTCCTGATCTGGTAGAATTTGTTTAATGCCTACTAGAAATCCAGAAAGAACCCCATGGAAGCCAGAAAATGGCGTATAACTGTAGACCAAGAATATGGAGAACAAAGAAGACAGTGATGGGAGAAAGTACAATGTATATAAACATACTAAAAAATTGACATTACAAAATCTAAAGGTACAGCAGTGTTTCACTAAGCTCATGATCTGGTAGAATTTGTTTAATGCCTACTAGAATTCCTGAAGAAACCCCCATGGAAGCCAGAAAATGGCATATTACTGTAGTCCAAGAATAAGGCGAAGGGAGAAGACAGTGATGGGAGTAAGTGTTCATAAACACACTTAAAAAATGTCATTACTTGTTCTATAGGTATAACAGTATTTCACAATTTATGCCAATAAGGACACATAATTGTTGTCATATAACATTAATGAATGTACACACAGAATGACCTTTATCTATGTAGGATGCTCAACATGATGATCAAGATTATATCAACATATCAAAGGACACATAATTGTTGTCATATAACATTAATGAATGTACACACAGAACAGAATGACCTTTATCTATGTAGGATGCTCAACATGATGATCAAGATTATATCAACATATCACCCATATGCTGACAGATACTAAATCTAGGTGCAGCTACAGCTTTACATGTGCAGTTATAACAAAAATTGACCTGCCATGAATTCGTTCCCTAAAGTAATCATTGCCATTTTCCAGTTTGATGCAGATAAAGGAACCAGAACAACCAAACTTACTATGATGTAATAACTCATATTCATAGTAGCATAAATCACTTTAAATAAATTTCTAATCTAAACTCTATATGTTATTTAATGCAAAATGCTAAAGTTTGATTTTCATTATCTATATCATGGCATAAAGAATGTCAAAGTTGGATTCACCCAGAATTTAGAGGTGAAAAGAAAGATGGGAGGTCTTGGTTAATGTGGAAGATGCTGCAAACAGAGATATAACTGAGCCTTGTGAAATCAGAGACTTACAGATAGCTTTCCTGTCTTGTAATGTAGTACAAAGCAATAGCAGTTACAAAGACGCAGACTGAAGTAAATAAATTCACCACTATGATGAACTTCAAAAACTCTTTGGAACCCCACAATGGCTCCAGCGACTTCCCAAATAAAAGGAGACCAATTGTGCTAATTGCCACCTGTAAAAATAAAATGTCATATTTGAGTATGTTCGATATAGAAAATACAAAATAACATGTGAAGAACTAATGAAAACTTTTGTCTATAACCATTACTATGGCATTTGTCAGCTTATGCAGTTGACCTGGATATGACAACTCTTAAGCACTGAATCAAAGTCGCCACAGATATTATACTAGGTTCAATTTCTTGTTGTATTGATGAAATGTGTAATTAGATAGCAAGTATTGGCATTATGATAAGGTGACTCCTTGCCAAGCTGGGTGACTAAGGTCTGAGTCAAATATTAATAGCATCTGCTGATCAATTAATTTGCCTGGAGTGAACATGAGACGAGTTTGGAACTTTGGATAGGCTCGCTTTTATCCTTTGCCCACAGAAAAATGTGTGAACTGGAACTCACAAAATGTGCCAGAATGCTTATACCCAAATACTAGTGTAAGGTTACACAAGCTCATATGTATCTACTGCTTCCCCTTTATGCTATGTGGGATTGCTAACTCATTCCAACAACACTTAAAAAGGATTCAATAATAAATTTAAATGGAGAGTCCATAAGAATTGTCACATAATTAGTAAAAGTTCATCTAATTAGTGTACAATAAGCAGATCAAATAAAAGGAGATAAAAACATGTAGGTTAAAGAATGCATAAGATGTAAGATCAACTAACGCGGAATAGAAATTATAGGTCAGAGAAAAAGCACAACTAAGTCTAATATAGGAAGTCAAAAAGGCTCCTTTCTAGATGTGAAAACATTCCAACTGCTCATGAGGGATTTATATAAACTAATAGCAAAAATAAAAAAATATTTAAAAAGATTTCGAAGACCTACGGTACAAAGTTACCCAAGAAGAAGGATCAAACATGTTCAAAAAAAGAATCCGTCAAGACAAAAATGTAGGTCAAGAGAAAAAAAAAAAGACAAAATCAAAACTCATCTCCAAAAAGTACAATTATTTAACAAACTTTAGTGATGGTCAGTGACATCTTATACTTCTACCTTCTACTAAACATCTTTAAGACAACTTATCCGAATTCCAACTTACCTACAAGGATACTAGGATCTTATGTACTTTACTCAGCTACGATAAAACCCCAAAATATATTATCTTTGCAAACCTCGAATTAAAATATATTACTAAATAAACATGATAAATGTTCTAAGATGACTAAAATGGCATATTTCCTAAAATGAAACCAAAACCAGGATTTACTTTTACCAAACTAAAACAAAAGCTTTCAAACAAATAAATCTTGATCATAGTAAACTATCATTTCTACACATTTTTTAAACGATTCTAGATCTCAAAGTGACATTTACAACAACACCAAAATCATTAAAAACCTTCTTTATTATGGATATAACCCCAAAATATTATTTTAATTGCTAGAATGTTGCCTTTCTTAACTAAACAATTTAGCATCCATAGTGGAGTTATAACATTCACCTCCACCAAGATAAAGTATAAAATTAATATCTAGATGAATTATGTTCCAGTTCATATTCCCAATATTACTGAAGCAATAAAAATGTTCTTATAAAAAAGATATAAAAAAATTTCTGTATTGTTTATACCATGAAGGCAATATGTTGATGCTGCCTAGATCAAAGAAATATAATTTCAGCTATAAGGCAGATTATTAATGTGCTAGGATATTGATGATAAGTAGCAATGAACATATAATGATTACTGTAATAGAAATCACATGGCAATCAACATAGTGCCAATCGTGGTTTTCTAGAATGACTGATCCTGGTTAAATTGATATCTCGGCACTATTGATGGATAGTCAATGAAATCACCAAAAATAGACTGAACCTTGGTCGATTGCAATCAACAAGTGATAAAGCGAGAGAGAGAGAGAGAGGAAAGATGTTGGGAGATTCAATTGGCAAGAGCAAAAGAACTAGAGGATAAGATGGAAGACGAACTGCAGACGATGTTTACTTGTTGATGCACTAGGATAGAGCTGCTTGCTGATACGCTGCCCCTTGCATTGTTTTCCTTTGATGCAGAGATTGAGTGAGCAAGTAAGCAATGACAAAGTGTGTGTGTGTGTGTGTGTGTGTGTGAGAGAGAGAGAGAGAGAGAGAGAGAGAGAGAAGGGGTAAGAGGAAAACAGAAACTTTTACATTGTTTTCTCTTTTGGGTATGGTGTGGTTGCGGTAAAAAATGGCATTTATTGATAAATGGTTGAAAAATTAAATCCTACAAATGCAATGGCTAACAAACATCAATTTTTTTAACCTCGCAGTTTTTTAATAAATTTTATAAGTTGTAGAACATGTATGACTTTTTAACTTTTAGTAAAACCTTTAAATTTCCTTTTCCGGCCAGTCCTGATTTGACAATCCTGATCATAGATTTGAAGGTCCACCAGGGACCCGAGAACCTAGTTTGCAAAATCTTGATTCTAGGATTTTCAAGACCACTTCAAAACCTTTAGTTTTGGAACATATCTAGAAACAATCATGATAAGAAATATCTCATGCCACAAAGAAACTTTATAGTTGTTCATTTCTTCTTTCAGTGCACCTAACTTGATTTGTCTACAACCTATGTGCAAGTGTCAGTATCGTGTTTGACAGTTGTCAGCTAGCCTCCTTGCCAACTACTGGTCAGCACAACTACAACTTGAACAAATATAAAATCGACATACTTTAACCCAGTATAATGTTCTTATTTGCTGTACCGGCTGTCTTACAAGTAGCCCTGAGAGTCATTTTTAAGGCAAAACAGCAATTAATTTCTCTCTTCCCGGTTTGAAGTTACAAGCAAAGCTCCAGAAAGAGGAACTTACCTCTGACAAATGCAACACTAAGATAAGGATCTAATTAAAATTCTAGGCCAGGAATTCATCAGTAATTATTACTCTTGTTTCCTATTTCTTTTTAGATGAGAATTGTTAAAAATAGTGATGTAAGAGAAAATAAGCATGCCCAATGCAAATAGAATTCATTTGACAAAGAGAAGACATAAGAGAAAAAAGCGACAAAGCTTACCCCTATAAGTGATTGTTCAATGTAACCAGCAGTGATGAGGTTCCATGCAAACGGAATTGTGCTAGAAAAAGCAGAAAAAACTTCAGCATAAATAATTATGACAATTTTTCACAAGGAAGCATTGGACAATTATTGGACACTAGAAGACATTCAAAGTCTCGCAATATAATAAAGAAATACTACATTTCCAGTATATAAAAGAGAATATGAAAGGCGACTCCACATAGATCATGCATAATACCCAAGGAATATAAAAAGACATTTCTTCCATCAAAACAGTTGCATTTCTGTTCATATATCTAGTTTTACAAAAAGATCAAAACAGTGGCTAGGCTAGTAATGCAATATACAATTTTTCCTCAACATTGGCCTGCGTATATAATGAAGGTGCTATCATAATTGCAACCACAAATCCAACCCTAATAAAGGGAACCTTCTCTTCCTCCATCTAATTCCATTAATTTTCTATATCAATTAAATTGTACTTCCTAATCTAAAGTTATTGTCAATGTCAAAAAGTCAATGTCAAAAAGAAGCAAGGTTTTAATTTTTTTTTAAAAAGCAAATTTGCACCCTTTTAAAAAGAAAATATGGATTAAAAGACTTTAAGTAAAAGGAAAAAAACACATTCTGGGCAACAACATCATAGATGCATATACATTGTAGATAAAAAATATATGTATATCCATACATATGCATTGTCCATGTAAGCATATAAAGTATATGCATTTTTATCCTGCATAATAAGCATATTAGGAACTCCAATTGCTACCTTGAGGGAATAAGAGCAACATAAGGGAGAGCTGAAGGAAAGATCTGAAGCAAAACATGTCCTAAAACTAGTATCACAGCTAGGCCCTTGCACAATCGAGTAAACCCTGTATAAAAGCTGCTGCTCTGCATTTAGAAAATGTAGCATTATAAATTTGTGATGAATTTCCAAAAAAAATAGATAGAAGAATAGAAAAGTGTAGACTTCAGTAACTGAATGAACATTTAAATTATATTTTGTAACTAAGAGCAATTTATACAGAAATACAGCAAGAAAATACTATACAAAATCAAGATAAAAGAAGGTCAACCATAACTGTATTTGTCCGTATCATAGCAAACAAAGATTCTGAGGCATTTATAATGCTGTCAATGCATTTTCCCTTGTCATTGGCTAAATTTGTTTTCCACAAATCTAAAGCAAAAGCTTCTTTGTAGTTTGTATCATGGAGTAAAATTCTTATGATGCATTTCTTTACTTGTCCATACAGGTGTTCGAGCATTTTTTTATATTCAGGTTTCAAACCAGTGAAGATTCCTAAAGCTAAAGTTACGTTGCTCTAGTATCTATAGAATGATAGCAATAACTAACAAAAGCAAGGGGGCCTTACATATGCATGATGAAAATATTCGAATTTGGCCTATGGACCATGTATCCTTGCAATTGAAAGGTAATCCACTAAATTTTCCGACGACTAAATTTTTCTTCCAAAAGAATTCACAGACTAGGCCTCTCACTATCACTAGAGTAGCAACTACAGTAATTTGCATCATGTACAATACAGGAAAAAAGGTAATATCTTAGCTAGAAGTCCCACATAAAACAATATGAGGTTAGCAAACTAGGATCCACAAGGACAAACAAGATAAGGCTCGATGATCTGGTTATGCTCTTTCATGTATTTTGCAAATGAGTCAACATCCTGGTCATTCGGTTTGCCAAAAAATAGAGAAGGTATTGAATCCCTTTAATCATATCATGACCAGGTCTCGTAACAATTCTGCATGAGAGACCTACTGCAGAGTGTCAACTCTATCACGCAATTATGGTGTGTGTGTCATATATCAACATGCCCAGAGTTTTTAGGAGCTGATGATCCATGAAAAAGATTTTATATAAGGATCTCCATTAACCACCCATGATTTCCAAAATAAGTTGGCATTCCAAATCACTGTGGTTGTGGAAGATGATATGGTATTGTTGCTGACCTGAACTATCAAGCCTGAAGCAGAAAGAAGCTTTGCAGATGGATCCACAGACACCTGTTATTTTGATGATGGTTTGGCTTCCAATGCCCATTTAAATATTTGCAAATGGAGTGAGGGTGTTAGATCACCTTAAAATAGCATGACCAATTCCTTGGCAGGTTTGCTAGTAACTGCATTATACATGCTTAGCCATGCTCTTTCTCATCCTCGGTGACAGAAACTTGCTAAAAATGAAAATGATTGCATGCCTGGTACCATGCCTAGGATTACCAAGATCTGATGATCCATGCCTAGACCTTGTAACTGGACTAGAATGGTTGTATTCTACAATCCATGATCAACATAATCATCATGCAATTTGCACTATGCCAATTGCCTTCAGTGTTCTTTATGACTAATCCTCCAAGCAACAATGTTTAGGGTTTTTTTCCATTCAAAACTATGAGTAGCTTTCAAGATAATTCCATCAAGAAAGTTGTTTTAGTCAAAGAAAGTTATTTCTGGATACAACTGAAATTTGAAAGTCTTATGATAGTTATTCTAATTAAAGAATCTAAGTCATGCGATAGACCACATTAATTTTGAGTCCCGGAGAGTGTAACTGGCTTATTAACCTCTTCTGTAGAAATTGGCCTCTCATAGTTCTAATGTCATAATAAAGATTTGGATCCTATTTTACTATCAAACAAAAAATTGGTATTTTTTCTACATGTTGATCACCTTGGATTAACCCATTAAAAAAGGGAAAACAATCATCTACAATCCTCGAATCTATCAGTTTCCCTGGACAAAAATTTATTTTTCCCTAGCCCCTTGGATGATCACTTGACTATTTTTAACCAAAACAAAGCCAACTAAGGTAGCAATGGTGAAGTGGGGGCACTGTGAAATGCAAAAGGTTATAAGGAAATAATCTAATAGAACATCTTAACAAGAATCATTCAAGATATCCTACCAAGGGGTGCAATTACTCTAATCAAAATTTGTTTAAATCACCGCAAAATCTGCAAATTATAAGTAACATCTGAAATTTATATTCCAAATATTGGCCTGAAATTAACAAAAAAAACAATTTTTTAAGTTTCTGAATACATTATCTCTAGGTACTTGAACATACCAGGAACTATGAATCAGATGTAATAAGTCAGTCAAACATTAGTAGGTTGTTTGGAATTATATTTAATGCTTTAAATGAGAATGACAAGAGTGTAAGTTAGATATCAACGAATGTTTGGCCTGCTATTCAAGTTATCTTCTTCTTTAGTTTGTTAAACATTTTTTAGCCATCATCTTATCCAAAAACACCCCTGGTCCATGCCTGCATGCCCGCCCAGACACATACAAACAGGAAAAGTTTTTCTTTTTGCTCTCCAATTGTCATGTGTAGGCTCCCATCGAAATCAGGGTTTCATGCCGGAAACATTACAACAATCTACCAAAAAGGTAAGCAGAGAAGCTTAAACACTGAAAATTAGATAGCCCGACAAATGAAGGATGGAACAACTAATGCATCATCTCCTTAATTGATTTGTCTATCATTTTAATCAAAGTTAAACGAGTAAATCTGTGAATCTTGTTTAGGACTTCATCAGAAGACCAAAAATCTAATCCTTGGAGTCACAGAAGGCCTAATCATTTATAACAACAAATCTCCTGTACGGCTAATTCAAGAATCAAAGAAGAAAAGAGTATTTTACTCCCCAAAAGGAGTTTTCAGAAATCAAATGGCGCATATTCGATGCTAAAAGTCACGAAGCCAATCCCGAATATGGCGACGAAATTCACACATAATCGGTGTCTGATCGGAGGCCGAAAGAGCTATCGAAATGAGATCCGATCCAGCAATCCAAAGATCAGATCCAGCGTAGGGGATCCAAGGTGGAATCAAGAAATGCGAGGAAAAACAGACAGAGTACTCACTCCAGTTTGGAGCGGCTGGGGAGGAGAGGAGCTGCTCAACATCTTCGCCGCTGCCGATCTCTCTCTCTCTCTCTCTCTCTCTCTCTCTCTCTCTGTCTGCGGCAAATTGCGTGGGAGAGAGGTAGGGGTCCCCCTTCGTCTCTGGGGCGAGGGGAGGGCTCGGGGGGAGATCCGGGGGACGAAGCGCTTGGGGCCTTTGGCTACCGCCTACGGAAATGCTGCTGCCTGGTGCAACGCACGAGTCGCAGATGTGATCGTTTTTTACGGTGATTTAGATGAAATCCAAGACATGCTTAAACAAAGACATCGTCACGTGCTTCGTCCCAAGTCACGTTTGTAAGTCGTAATGCTACATGTTGATTCCGTCTAGAAATTAATGCTAGTCAAATCCAAATTCCACTAATTAAACGGCCCCCAAATTAAAGTTCTATTTAAACCAGATCAAAAGATGCCCCAATTCCATTTAAATGATATCTATCATCCCTAATTTAGGAGAGTGTTGTATCAAGTGGAATTACAAATGAATAAGTTTTTGCGAGTGGCTCAATATTAATAAGGGGCTAATTATATATTATTTTTATAATTAATATCTCAATTCTTATATTTTAAAAAATAGTATTAAGATACCTACCCTTATGACACTAAAATATTTAACCTCTCATATTCATGGATCGAAGAAATGGTATGGGCTGTGTAAAAATAACATAAATGAAAATGGTAAAAAAAATAATTTTATTATCTTTGAAATTATTAACTTCATATGAATTTTTCTTCGGCTTTTATAGAAACTTTTTACCGCTTTTCTCCCCTCTAATTCCCTCTCCTTCAGTTATGCTACGGACGGTAGACCAGTGGCGACATCGACGGTGCACAAGACCGGTGACGTTTCAAAGGAGATATGAGCACCACCTTCAATTATGACCGCTTTCCTCCTCCCCTCTATTTTCTTGAGGACCAACCATCGCCCTTGTTTCCAGAGGAGGAGGTGGCTCTCGAACTTGTGAAGGGCAACAACTAGACCAGTGATGGCGTTGGTCGCATTCCAAAGGAGATCCAAGTTACCTCCGATCGTGATGCTTTTCTCCCCCCCTCTACATTCTTAAGGACCAATAATTACCCCTATTTCTATATGACGAGGTTGCCTCTTGAACCTATGAAGGACAACGACCAGGGCACCGTCTCAAAGTGTCACTTTCCTCCTCCCCTCCACTTTCTTGAGGACCAATCATCTCCCTTATTTCCTCGCCTGTCACCCCATTAGCTTCACCTTAGCCAACGACGACTTCGTCATCTACCCTACCCTCACCATCCCCTACCACATCAATGTCCCGGTGGGCCTCGACGAATCGAAGCGTGAGGACGATGAAGAGGAGGAGGCTACCTCTTGAACCTGTGAAGGGCAATAGCTAGGGCGTCTTTCTTCATTCCCTTTGCTTTCTTGAGGACCTATCATCGCCCCTCTTTCCAACTTGCTCGCCCATTGTCCTATCATCCTCGCCCTGGCCAGTGGCGGCCTCATCGTCTACCCTAGCCTCACCCATTCATACCACATCAGCATCCAATGGGCCTCAACGAATCAAAGCACGAGGACAACAAATAAGAGGAGGCTTCCACTCAATTCTTTGAAGGGCAACAACCAAAACACTGTGGTGCTCTTACTCTCAATCAAGGTCGACAAGTTCTTAGACCTTATTGAATATAACACTGACGAGAATTAAGGTTCAAAGTGTTACAATGGTCCCAAGCAACAGTAGTAGTTCTAGTACAGCCATGAGAAAAGTGAGGACGAGGCATCAAGAGAAATATCTTATTATTGAGTTATCGAATGATGAAGACTTCGGTAATTTTTTTTAATTTTGAATCATTATATGGAATGCAGATTTATTGAATTATAATATATGTTGTACTCTATCTTAACAATATAAATTAAAAACTTTTTTAAAATACTAGAATAAAGTATAGAATTTATGAAAGATCTTAAAAATACTACCAAAGTGTTTATAGATAATGTAATTTAAAAAATAAATTAATTTCTTTTACGTCGAATATATCAAGAACTACTTGATCTGCCACTATCACCATTAATAAAAAAGCTACATAGTATCATTAATGAAGCTCAATGCGTTTTAATTAAGTTTATAAAGTTTATACCAAGGCATGAAAAAAAAGAAGAAGCTTAATCTAAGTCTTTTAGAAAAGTAGTCTACTTAATGATTAAATATATAGAATTTATAGCTATTGTGATAAGAATTTTATAATTTATAGCTTTATCTTTTCTATAGAATGTTACCCTTCTAGTTGTCATCTTCTTCTCTTTTCTAGAGAGAAGAATTGTTTGTAAGATTTTTCTCTCTCACCGTGACGTCATATGTTCTGGCGATCCAAAGGTGTCATGGATGATACGACTCACAGCTCATGTCTTTAATATTGAAGGACCAAGAAACGAGCTTTTGATGATACCACAAATTTACTGTCCTGTGTTCGGATAAAAGAAGAAAAATGCTTCAAATAAGATAATTGAACTGTTTTTAAAAAAATAAAAAATAAAAATAATACAAGCCAAAATTGATGGTTGTCTTAGATTCCAAATGCAGCTTCACTATACAGAATCAAGTTGATGGTTGTCTTAGATGATGTCTACTTTATTTGCAACATGTATTATAATCATGCGATTTCTCATTTCTTAACTGTAAATATATATAATCATAAAGAAAAAATTAAGTGGAACAGAATTGATAGAGTGGTAGAGTCACAGAAATATTTTTTATTTTATATTTTTAACCTTAGCTCTAAGGAACAATATGCTAATGTTAAAACATAAAAGAATTAAAATCTTACATCAAAACATTATGTACTGATGATATGAACTGTCTAAATAAGAATTCTACAACGGCGAACAACCAGAGTCTATTACTCACTACATCAAACAATTTACAATCTCACTGTATACTTCCTAGTCCCATCACGCCCGGTTGATCAGTCACATATCATCGACGGTTTAATGAAACTATAAATGTGTGTAGCAGCAGCTCATGCAGAAGAAAACCTAAACTGACCTCATCAAAGTATTCACTTTCTTTGGCTGGCTGGATGTCATACATCTCCTTCACAGCTGGTGTGTTGTTGTCTTCCGTCTTTTTCATTGCAATCTCGGTTGATAGTGATCAAGCTTGTTTCATGGTGGGGCACTAATTCTCGGATACTTGGGCTCTCTCACCTCTGTCAGTGAAAAAGTAACAGAGGTCCTAATCTTCTTCCAACCACCAATGCCTGTGTTTTGCCATCAGTCTTCTTCTCGGGGGAAGCTGCCAGTAGATTGAGGCACAAATTAACAAAAGCTAACGCAGCAACAATCGGTATAAATAAAAGACAACAGGATACTACTTGAGAACCCATAAATAACTGTTCAGTCTCTGACTAAAACAAAGACTTGTAAAGGCAGTGTTTCTAATCCCTTTCTTGATGCTTCAAAGAAATAACAAAAATAGTGGTATCAGAAAATTGACAGAAAATAAATTTAGTGTTTCTGACCTCTTTCTTGATTCTTCAAAGTGACAATATAAAATAGTTGTACCAGACAATATCTTGACAACAGGCACTACAAAATACCAACTGCTTATCTATGACGGTAATTAGCTGGAACTTACATCAATTTAGTGAAGTTTCAGAACATACATAACACAAGGGAGAAATCAGGAGCTTTTACTTCAAACCACTGATCTTTCAAATTCATGAATATCCAATGATCAAGTCAAACTGAATCTTCTGCTCAATAATTTAATTTATTATCTACTGAATGTATAAAGAAAACATACAATTCACGACAGTTGCTAAATAAATCTAGGATTAAACAATCAGAATCCCGCATTGAATAACCAAAGACATCCACAACACTCGCTCAGCGATTTTATTGTTACAAGCATTTTTTCATGAAGATAATGCAAGCACCGGCAACATACTGAAATGACTACAGGCTGAACATGATTCCATGTACTACCATTGACAGTGGTACGAACTACATCTATGCTACGAATTTCTGGCATTTATCTTTAAGAATGACACAGCAGTAAATCTAATTGCATAAAAATAATCAACTCATAATAATGCCCTAAACCAAACCCAACTATTTGAGGCCACAAAGACAGAGCAACTCCCAGAATGGATTAATAGCCATTACCACATTTCTTGATATACAAAAAAAAGTATATTGTAAAATACATAAGAACACAATTATAACTCACAGATGTCTTCAACCGAAAATAGAAAAGTAGCTTAGACAGTTCAAGCATGTCCACTTCCTGGAATGAAGAGAGCAGAATAATCATACACAATAATGGGTCAAATTACACCCTTTAGAAAACTGAATGTTAGCATACTTTCAAAGACTTTAGCAGTGACCATTATCAGTAGAAATGTAAAATTTGAAAACCATCATGCCCACCTGATGCTTTAGGAAGAAAACCTTAACTATAACAAAAGGAAGGGAACAAATTATCTGACCTCAACTTGCCAACTAATAATGGACACCAAAAAGTGTTTTAGGTTCCATCCAAATTCATTGCCCACCATGAAGTATTATTGCTTATACCCTAACAGCTCAAATGAATTCCATTACACTCATTTGCTTATTCATGCTGAAATCGTATCAATTTTCAATATATATGTTCCTAAAGTCATAGAAATATAGTATAACAAATTCAGATAAGACTATCAAGCACCAATCCTACGAAGCTCGACACATAAAATTTACACAGCATCAAACACGTTTGATAACCCACATTTACCAAGTGCAAACAAATATATTAAGAGTATCAAACATATATATAAACTACTAATCAATGTCAGAAAATATCATAACAAAAATGTTTATTGACACACAGGAACAATTGATACACATAGCAATGTCAAACCATTACACATGTTGCTTAACAATGTCAAATCACATATCCTAATCATCTATCCACTCTTACTACAACACAAAATTCATCATTTAGGATTGTGTCTGTACTATTCATCAGAACATGTTGCTTTGCTTGAATGTTATCTTGGAGGTGCCATTAAACATTAGGATTCAACTATTTTGTTCAGATTTACAAGTATAACAGAATTCAACCGAAATAACTCACATGTACAAGTTCCCTTTTTTTTGAAGAAATATTAGGCTCAGAATACTAGAATAGCATTACACCAGAGAAGCATTTGAATATATATCATGCTGCCACTGCATTATTCAGATCAAGACAAGCCCTTC